TTACAGGAGGGAAGTGGGAATGAGGTCCCACCCTTATTTGATGATCTTTTGGCATCTGACTGCTTTTTAGAGAGAGAGAGAATTTATACTTAATGGTGTGACATTTGACATATCAAATACACTCTAGAGCAGGCCTCATACCCAGGAGTAGCTGGCCATCACAAACTGAACATGTTATGTTGCAGGTTAGGGGTAAGAAGTTGGATAGGGAAGTGGGAGGATCTGAGAAGAATTGGGGGAGGGGATGAATATGATCAAAATATACTGTATGAATTCTCAATAATTAATAAAAGCATTATTTTTAAAATTGAACCTCTTATAGTAATTATTTTGCATCCCAAAAACCAGAATTAGGACTGGCTTTACCACATATTCTTGATGTTTCCCAGACCTATCTTTTTTAATGCAGATAGACAAGAGCTGAACTGAAGTGCAGCCTAATAAGTAGTCAACCCCCTCTACAAGCATCTTCGGAGATGAGTTTTTATTCATTTAATATCACAGGACTCTTTCTGTGGAAGGTGGGGTAGGAACTCCTGAACATGTCATTCTAGCTGCTGGCAAATCAACCTACTGCCTCTAATGTAAGAAGGACTCAAGAAGAAAACACATGAGAATACATACACAATATCAAATTCCCCTAAAGTCACTTGAGACCACCTTCCTCTTTCACAAACTAGAGCATTTCAATAAAAGGATGAGTCACTTTTATGTATGACAAAGAGTATTTACGGGTAGAAGTTGCATGTATCATTTCCTACAATGCAATATGCACACAAGATGGTTACAGCTTCAAAAATAATTTTCTAATCTCTACCACAGATAAATGTCCGTAGTTGAAAATGTAGTGAATATGAGCTACAGATGTCATCTTAAAATACTGATATCTAGATTTTTTAAAGCATTTCTTTGTTCATTAGATATTTTTTTCATACTTACACAAGAAATTAGGTCTGCAAATGACAAGAATCAGGTACAACTTCCACTATGATCTTTATAAAACTAATCTGTGTTTCAGAAAACAGAATTATATAAAAGAACAAAGAATACTAAGAGATACAATGCAACTACAGGCTGATATTCTAAGAAAAGCGTGTGCTGCATACCCAAAAGTGAAAACACCATCCTGCTTCCCTCCTTCTTCTTCTCCCCCCTTCTCTCTCCATTCTGTCCCCTCTCTCATTTATTTGGAAACAGAATCTCATGTAACTCAGGTTGGCTTTGATACTGCTATGTACTAGAGGATAACCTTGAACCTTCTACTGCCACCCCAAAAATCCAACTGTAGGACTGACAGGCATGTTCCACCATGTGGGCTGTTGGAGGACCTCTAAAATCTTATCAGGTATCTGTAAAGATTTTAACAACATTCTCAAAAAGTTTCATCTTGTAATTCTTAGAAATAAGCAATTACAAAGTCAAAATTATAGTGACTAAACAAAGATACTGACATATACACATTACCTATAAACACTTCCAAATATCTAAGAATAGTCACTAATCAACAATAATGTCTGATTTACAGCTCTGAGAGGAAAACATGTTAAGGTTGACTATGCGGCTAGCACCATCCTCACCTGTAAAACAAAACAAAAATACACAGCCCCTATCAGTCCTCAGAAGCCTCTTCTAATTCACCTCTCATCCAACAACACAGCCTTTCCAATTCCCAGCAGCCATCCCTCCATCTTCTCAGTACAGGTTTTGGCATTTGCACCTTTGCCATACTTCAGCCCTACCTAGAAGGCCTATCATCAGCCTACCCACTCCTCAAGAAAGCTCATGTGTCACCTCCTCAAAACACTCTCCAGGTCCCCAAGGGCTTCTGAGTGCCTCCCTCAAAGGCTCAGGTGCTAGCATCTTGATTCTCAATGTGGAGAGCGAGACATGTAACAGATGGGGAAAGCATTAGGAGGCAGGGCCTGGTGGGGATAATCAGCTCACTGGAGAAAGGCATCATTACTGCAGTTCCCGGGGAATGGCTGCTTCTGAGAAAGGCACAAGGTTACAAAAGAGAAGTTGTGGGCCCTGAGTCTTCTGTTTTAGCATGCAATCTCTGCACAGAGCTTTTGCCTGTCCATTCCTCTGCTATGCTGAGACAGTCAGGGACTCTTGCCAGAGACTGAGCTATGGAGCTATCTCACCAAAACAATGAGCTAAATAACCTCTCTTTCTAACACTGAGGTAGACTTTACATAATATAAAATTATAAAAACTGAGTGTACAATTCAGAGGTGTTGAACATATTTTCAATATTGTATAATGTTCACTTCTATATAGTTTCAAAATATTTTCAGCACTGCCAATGGAAATTTCATAGCAATTACACAGTAACTCCCTATTCCTCCCCTTTGTCCTGCCCTGACAACACTGATCTGTTTGGGATATTCCATAAGAATGAACATGCTGTATTTAGTGTGGGGCTTCTGTTATTTATCACAATGTGCTCAAGATGCACCCATTCTACAGCAAAGGTGGCATGCTGTTCTCATGCTTTCTGTTGTTGTGATAAACACAATTACCAAAAGCAACTTGGGGACAGAAGGGTTTATTGGGTTTATACTTCAGGCCACAGTCCATCACTGAGGAAGTCAGAGCAGGAACTAAAAACGACAGCAGCAGAAGGAATCATGGAAGAGTATTGCTTATTGGCTTCCTCCCAGACTTGCAATCAGCTCCTTTCTTTAAAAGCCCAGGCTCACCTTCCCTAGTGGGCTGGGCCCTCTTACATCAATTAGCAATCAAAACTACCCCAGAGGCACGCCCATGAACCATTCTGATACAGGCTATCCATCAACTGAACCTCCCTCAGAGTAACCCTAGGCAGTGCCAAGGAGACAGCTGAAGCTAAGCAGGAGCTCTAGTTACAAAATAAGCATCTCCTTTATAAAATTACCTTATAGTAACAGATTACTTCTTCTAGTTATAATACGTATAGGTATCATCAAACTAACCTCTATTATACTAAATGGCCAACCCTGAAAACATTTACATATAAGTAACATTATACAAACTGAGCAGGCTGTACTTATATATTTAGAAATATACATACACAAACACACGTATATAACAACAATGAAAAAGGGGGCCATGAATGTGAAAGAGAGTAAAGATGGATATATGTAACGAGTTGGAGGGAGAAAGGGGAAGGGAAATAATGTAATTATAAGTTCAAAAGAAAAATGTATTTTTAAAAATGGGAACTAAAGCCGGGCGGTGGTGGTGCACGCCTTTAATCCCAGCACTCGGGAGGCAGAGGCAGGCGGATCTCTGTGAGTTCGAGGCCAGGCCAGGCTGGACTGACAGCCTCCAAAACAATACAGAGAAACCCTGTCTCCTAAAACCAAAAAAAAAAAAAAAAAATGGAAACTAAATAAGGATTTCCCCCATCTTATATATATTTCACAAATTGTTCACAGGTTTTTTGTGAAGCACAATATCAAAAGCTCCTATAGAACAATGAGATATCCTTAACAATTTTTCTTACACATTAAAAGCTCCTAGAAAGTCAGGTACAGAGGTACCTAATGTAAAGACAGGAACAGGAGAAGCACAGGTTCAAGGTTATCCTTAGCTACACAGGAACCTCAAGGCCAGCTTGGGTTATACGAGGCCCCATCAAAAACAAAACAAAATGAGAAAGAAAAACAAGAAAACAAAAACACAAACAGAAAACCTCCTAGAGAACAATTCTGTATCCTAGAGAAATGGTGGGCATTCAAGACATCTTATTTGCTTGTTAGATTTATAACTACAATTACCAATGTATGGCATATGCCTTTAGTCCCAGCACTCAGGAGGCAGAGACAAGAGGATCTCTGTGACTTAAGGTCAGCCAAGTATACATAGTGAATTCTAGGACAGCCAAGACTACATAAAGAGACTCTGTCTCAAACAAGGAAGGGGGGAATAGAGTCTGGGTACTTGCTAACTAAAATAAAGAAATGTATATACATGTTTAGAATTTCAACATAATACACTAATATACTGAGAAGATTTTGGCTTTTCTGAGCTAGGGTTTCATGAACTCGTTGTGTAGTATGTGTGTGGGGGGAGGGTGTCCTTGCCCTGACTCTCTTGCATGTACAACTATGCTTAGTCCCAAATAAAGAATAATAATTTCAGTTTCTACTCTTGACAATGGAATTAGTAAGAATGTCCTAACCTTCCCAAATAGATTAGATTGGTCATCTATCTTTCCAACATGCAAAGGCATAGCACAAAAGTGCTGTACATACACAGAAAACAAAAACACATCAACTACATGCCTGGGATACCACCCCAAAGAGATGGGCAGATTTACTGCATCTGCTGCATGAACAGTATTGTGCTAGTTGCTGTGAGGTAAAGTAAGATGGAAAAGACACTCTCATGTACAAATTATACAAGTAGTTTGAAGACAAAGTATAAAACAGGTATAGGGGTACCAGAAATGCCATCAGGAAAAGGCTACCCTTAGAAGAACATGACTTTGAATGACCTGAAAATCTGTTCAATGTACCAATGAAGAGGAAGACAAAGGCAACTTAAAATTGATTAAGTGCGAGCATGTGCACCAACAATGAATCATCCTCTGTCAGGGGAACCCTGTCGAGGGAACCAAAGGAAACAACTGGAAGGCTGGAACAGAGGGGAGTGGATAAGTCAGAGAGAGCTGTGAAAGGACAGCATGGGAGTGAAAGCTCCTTTCCCACAGCCTGGACCGAGAGGAGCAGAGTCAGAAGGACAGGGCAAACACCAAAGGCCGGCAAGAGTTCAGTATTTCTAAACACTGGCAGAGAACTTCCTTGTTCAAAGAAAGGTAAACAAGGACTCCAGGGTAAGCGGCTCTCAACACTATGAAGTATGGCTGTGGTTCATTTCTCCAGGATGGAAGGAAACATTCAGTTCCAGAGTCCATGTGTTCTCAACATCCCACGAGATGTTATTTAAACACTGGGGCAAGTGTTAAGTCATAAAAGAGAAAGTTATGAACAATACTTGTCGCAGCTAAAAGCTGGCAGTTTAGTTTACATCAGCAGCAGACTGGGGCAGACCATTTAGATGACCAGCTTTAATTTCCACAAGACCTAATTTAGAGGGAGGTTTGGAGAATAAATTAAAAACAGCACAGGTTCCCTATGGGATAGGGGCATTAGGGAGAAGAATTTGCTTGCAGCCCTGTGGCATTTGCCATGTCGTTGTCCATCTATGGGTAGAGACCAGAGAAGGCCTTGAGCCCCCTACAATGCAAAGGCAAGCCCCATAACAAAGGCTAGCAGCATAGCCCCATGACACAGCTCTTGACGCAGAAAATCTTCTGTGCTAATTACCAGCAACAATGCCAAAGCAAGTCCTGACTTGGTGATTTCACCTGTGCTGGAGTGACTTTTAACACCTCAAAAGCTGCTATTACCTCTGATGAATTTACAACACAGGAAAAGAAGGATGTCGCTGAGAGCTGAAGAGCTGACCAGGCCCAGGTAAGTAGCCAAGAGCCCCTAGGCTATCCTCTCTGGACCTCAGCTTTTCCATCTATACTAACAATATTAATGACCATAACTATTTGACCATGACTTTTTCAGTAGTAATGTGCTCTCAACATTTATATCCAAAGATTTAAGTTTCTCAAAAGGGACTGGCTGGAAACCATAGAAGTCAGACCCAAGCTGCAACAGGAAGACAGTTCTGTGGAATCAAAGTCAAGAAACACCAGCACTTGTCTCAAAGACAGTACTGAAAATGCAAATGAAGCTAGAGGGCTCTACACTACACAAATCACTCCGTGTACAGCACAGATGAAGTCTTTTAAACCTTAGCCAACGCAGAGTTGAGGATGCCTCTATCATAACCCATGACCAAAGGTGTGAAGGTAAAGAAACAGAAAGCATCCCAGAAGTGCTATGAAAAGGGAAAGCTCACATCCTGGAGACAAAAGGAACATTTTATTGAGAAAGTCCAACATTAGAGTGGACTCTGAAGCATAGGCAGAGCTTTGGCCAGCTGTCAAGCAGAACACAAGAGTGGCACTGAGGCCATCAGGGTCCCTGTTTGGGGCACAGGACTCACTATGAGAAGATATTCTGGATGCCTACAATGTGGGGTCTGATCTTGACAGCGTAGATCTCTAAGAATATGGGCACAGGTTACAGGAGCATCCTTACAAACAGTGAGACTTGGTCTAAATATAGTTTTGACATTTTGGGTTAAAGTACAAAAAAATTTCTTTAGCATAAGTGTAAATATCTTCTGATATTTAAGAAAGATGCCAGTTCTACTAATATATACTAAAGCCATTTAACTCAATTTACATTATGACAACAGGTCAAAAGGACAACCAGAAAGCAAATTAAACTACTGATTTTAATTTTTATAAGTCAATGTTATTATCCTCATGTAGTTTATCAAGAGAGAACCTTACAACTAATGGTTCTTTTTAAAATGTAGGACCATGCTACACTATTTCTCAACCATGCAACAAACTGGTTATTCAACCATAAAAAGTTTATAAACTGGTTTCTACTTTTTAAAAGTAGCATGAGAGAAATTACATCACTGAGCTGACCCAAGTACTTCCTCACTTATGGGAAGAACTCCACTTGCTACCAGAAACAATAAACCAGCACACTGCATGCCACATGTCTAAGAATAAGATCAGGCTCGGAAAGTATTATCAACTTTTAAATATCTTCCAAATATCTCTGAAATTAAAACTTGTATTTAAAAAAAAACTTCTGGTACACTGTGGGTTGAATCCAAGGCTGTTCAAGTATTCTTTTCCTAAGCTTGTTATTTTTATTAGAAGATATGGTTTTGCTAAGTTGTAGTCTAGGCTAGACTACAACTTGGGATGTCCCCTCCCCGAGCTTTGCATATGGTTGGTGCTACAATCCTATATCACTGTATTTGGAGTCGCTTACAAGCCATATGTATCACTGAAAAGGGAGTCACTTACAAGTGATAACATTCTAACAAAAAGGAAGGGCACATGTAAAGTGCTGACATGTATTTCTTCACAAAAGGGGAAAATTAAAGGAGGATTATTTCAGTCCAAAGAAAAGTACTGTCCCAGCTTTTAAACTGCCTCCTATGAGTTCAGGAACAATGCGTTCAAGATACTGACATGCTATTCTTCACTATATGCAGACACTCTTTGCTTAAGGATTTTCAAGAAGGAAAACAGAACAAAATAGAACACCAACATGAAAATTTGGAGGTAAGCATTTGGCATGCTTAGCCATTTTACATGTTGAGTTTGAGAAACTACTGCAACATCTACAATTCCAGAGCCCCTGAAAGGGTCCATTACATGAGCTCTAAAATATCACATCAGGAACCAAGTTTGAAACATCATCAACCTGTAGATCCTGTTACATGCTTGGTAGAGAAGGGATGTAACACAGTAAAAGTGGATAGGAGTAAAGCTAAAGACCTCTCTAGTCTAGCTGACATATTTACAGTATGTCTGAAGGAACAGAATGCACATAATGTGCCCAGAAAACAGCAGAAACTAAATAAAGACAGAGTCATTAATACAAGTTCTAATGGGAGAGGCTAATCTATTTACTGTTGCACTTTCTTAGCACGTGTTTGGACAGAGCAGGACTGGCTGCCAGTGCTTTCCAATGGAAAGCAGGCAAAGACTGTATTGAAAATGATTGAGGATGGGGAGTAAAGAGATAAAAGCCAGTGCTGAAGATAAGCAGAGGGTTTGAGTTTGCACACATCAATGAAGGAGAAGAACAGCTGTGTGGCATACAGTGCTAGGGAAAGGAGGGCCATTTTTCATTAAGAGGACTCCCAAAGGGGGAAATAGAAAATGAATTAACAATGATTCTATAATCAAAACAAACAGAAAACTGCTGAGAGCCTGAGCGCAAGTCTGAAGTCTGCCCCTTCACACAGGCTACTCCTGTTCCTTGTGCAGCATCACCTCCAACCAAGGTGCACTGGCCCACCCTTTCCTGTTAGAGCCATCCCAGACTCCCCTCCCACTGAGCTACCGCTTCCTTTCCAGACTTTGCCTTGTTACTGGAAACTTCCTGATCTTCCCATGACTCACTGTAAACATTCAGGACTCATCCAAACCATCACCTCTTTAGAGCCCTTTTCCTGGATCCCACATACCACAGTCACAGCAATGTGTCTTACTGCTCCATTTTCTAGCAATCATTCCCATCCAGAACCATGTTTTCACCTGCACATATATTCTATTTTCACCAGGAACTAAGGGATTTGAGGGTGTTCAATACTCAATTTCCAACATCTAAAACAGCGTGTGGCATAGACATTCATCATATAAACTGTGAGAAATCCAAACAATAATCACTATCCTGAGAAGATAAATCCACAAAGCAGTTTTAATTTCCTTTTTTTAAATGCATTTGATGATGTAATTTGTAAAGGTCTGGGAGATTTCAAAGAAAAATGCATTCTTCCTAACAATACAAAATAGTACATACGTATGGATATCAAGGAGTGGATATAGAGGGGGACACAGTATACACTGTCCCTTCATGGGCATGTTTATCCAGCATTTTACTTAGCCATAAACACAGCCAAAATACCGCAAAACGTGTTCTTTTTTTTATCAAATCCTGCTCTAGAAGAGGAAGAGGGACAGATGAAGTGAAAATGGGAATTCCCTTTAGTATCCTTAAACAAAGACAACAGACGGAACATGCTGGAGTAACTCTAGTACACTGAGAAGTTGGACCTATCACTGAGTTCACCTTTACTAACCTTACCCTAACGAGTACTGGGTCAAGTGATGGATTCGGTGATTCCATCTGTGAATAAAGACAAATGCCTTTGCAACTGCCGTTGTTAAGAGAACACTAAGAAAAGTTCCACAATGACCACCCTTGTTCCAACCAAAGGAGGAAGAGAAAGAACTCTACTGAGATTTGAAAAAATAATAATAAAAGGCAGGATGAGTGGGCAAAGCTGAGAGCTAAAACCATAGCTTGAACATCCGTGACTCATGCTTTAATTTTCGTTTTGTTTTGTTATATCAGGGCTTTTTTGATGCAGGTGCAAGGCTGGTAACTGACAGTAACCTGCCAGCCCACACCTGCATGTCATCTCGGTCATGACAGGGGTGTGTGGCACTGGGCCGAGGCTGGATCACTCGCCTCCTGGTGAGTGTGGGAGTATGCCCGGGGCCCAGCATCCCTCCCATACTCCGCCACATTTGCACCCATAGGCCACATGGTCCTGGCCAGGTGTGGGGGTTCCGGCGAGCCCCGAACCTTTGTGACCTGGCCCTCAGGGCTCGGGAAAACAGCCTACCTCCTCTGTGGCGCGAGCCGCCCGCTGGCCTGCAGACCCGGCTCCACGGTCCAGGCCGGCCGGGCTGGGGCGGGGCTGCAGGGCGGGACCCGCGGCTGACGTCAACGCGCTGATCACGCAAGACGCTGCAGCTCCCCGGAACAGTGAAGAGGTACAGAAGACAGCAGATTCGTTTGTGGAATTGTCATTCTCGTGACGACCAATAAACGGCGCTGGAAGGAGTAAGTGGGCGGGTCTATAACTAGACCGAGCCTCCAGAGTTCGTTAGCTTAAGCAGTTTACAATTGCAGGTTGGAGTTGGTTTCATCTTCCTGATGCCGGCTTCGATTAGTTGCTTTATAGGGTTTAGACTGCTGCCAGTGAAAAGTAATCCTGAGGGTGGATTTCAAGCTCTGCCACCTTGGTTTGAGCTGTCCACTAAGAACTTTCTTAGGATCACCATAAATCTCAACTCGCCCAGACTTACATAGGAAAATCTTTATTTCTTTCTCTCTCCCAATCCGTAATGCATATTGTATTTGCATAATTATTATACACGAAATTGAGCACTAAGTGATGTTTATGCTTTTCCCAGTAGATGGTTAGTTACATTTTTCAAAAAATGTAAATGCCATTAGCAGTTCTGAAGATGCTCAGCCTGTTGGAGGAAAACAGTGTTGAAATTAAATACTTTTATAAAAAAGTAATTTTATATACGAGCAAAATTTTTGAACATTGTAAGATGTGCAAAACTTGTGTATATACCAATATTTATGTGATGGGTCCTAGTGCGTTGACATGTGACAATATTTGTAAACACTCAAGTTCTGATCTTCATGGTTTTTTAAATGTTGTGCAAAAGTCCTTAGAACCAATAGGTATTATTTGCCATTTCTGTGCCCTCAGACATACAGTTGTTTTTCTTTTATTGTTAATAGGAGAAATGCTACCTTTAAATTTTTTCCTAGTTCTGTCAAAGTACTGGCTATGGTGCAGATAAAAAGAGAACACACGGATCTCAGGATATACGTGTCTTCAATCCTAGCAGTAGATGCCTCTGATAAGATCCCCTAGTGCTGCTGCAGTGTCCATTTCCACTCAGAGCATTTAAATAATCCTTTCTAGCATTCCTTTGAAGAGAAATTAGCATGCAAGTTTCATTTTGTTTTTAACCTAAATTGATAGGAGTGAAAAAATTAAAGGACAAGGTGTTTGTATAGATACAAACTAAGTGCAGGAATTTTGTGTGAAATTATTTGGGTGATGAGGTGAAGCAGCTTGTGTAACTGCTGTAACGCAGAAGCCTTCTTGGTAGAAATTAAAACAGTACACCCTGTTCTGAAATTACCGCCACTTCCATTTGTTTCCCCTGATTTCAGACAATCCAGACAATGGACAAAATCTGAGTGCCTCTGCTACGTTGATATCCATGATGGCTTATATTGATTATCAACTTCACAGGATCTAGAATTGCCTGGGAGACAGACTTCTGGGCATGTCTGTGAAAGCTTCCAGGTTGCATTAATTGAGTGGGAAACCTACCCTGAATATGAGGAGCAACATTCATGTTCTGGAGTCCCAGAACAAATAAAATGGAGAAATGAGCTGAGCACCTGCATTTATCTTGATGTGTTTCCAGACTGTGTATGCCTCTGACCATAGGCCTCACACTGGTGCTATCATGCCTTCTTTGCCATTTGGAGTGTACCCTAAATGTGAGACAAAATAAATGTTTCTGTCCTTAACTTGGTTTTGTTTGTTTTATATTTTATCTAAGCAATAAGGAAAATAAGTAATATTTGTAATACTGTAACATCATATTTATAAAATTTATATATTACAATTGTAATTGATATATTTTACAAGAATATTGTAGTAGTTTAACATTCTCAATTTTGTTCATAATTTAGGATTTTATTTATTCTACTGTTTCTCAATATTGGGTTATTTAAAGTTTGTCATAATTACAAATAATGCTGCTGGGTATATTCTTGTACCATATCATTTGTGCCTACACCTATACATTTGATCTTGGTATATTATGAAGTGTCATATCACTATGCCATAGGATATATATATGTGTGTGTGTGTGTGTGTGTGTGTGTGTTTAGCAGTAATGGTCAAATCCCAGGATATTTTTTGGTTTCATCAATTTCCACATTCACAAACAAGGAAAAAAAATCTGATTACTCAGCATTTGGCAAAGATAATATTTTCAGTTGTGTTCTTTTGTACATATGTCTTTTAATCTATTGCTCATGTATACTTATGGACATCACCATGTGGATTTAACTTGCATTTTCTAGATAAAAACAAGTTTATACACTTAGATTATTTGGATAGCTTCTTTTGTCAATGCCTGCCAAAGTTTTTTTTCTTGCTCTTTAATTATACTATCTGTCTTTTTCTTAAGGATACTTTACATTCTTAATGAGTCCTTCATCTCAAACATTGTGTTGGAACACAGTCCATGAATTATGAGGGCTAAAGTTATGTTTTAAGTTTTAATTACTGTGCTTAAGAGATCTATACAACAAAATGCCTCTAATCTTTAAGCTCCATTTGCCTAAGGACAGATAACTTCTTGCAATGCTGGGGGCTATTGTTCAAGTAAGATAATGTAAGTCACATGTTTTTAGTTCAGTAAACAAGGTTGATTGCCCCAACTACATGAGATGTGGTTGATAACATGTAGGCAGGAGGTACATAGGCAGGAAGTACATTAGGATATAAGCTTGCCACTGATTGTACAAAGGCAGGAAGTGTGTAGCCTTGTGGATTTTGCCTTTATACACACCAGACTAATGTAATTTGCTGCCATTCTCTGGTAATCCTGGGTATGGATCTAGCCAGTGTCCGTCATGCTGACTGGTATTTAATAAAGTTTGCTTAAAATTTATCTCAAAAATTGGGGTGGTGATCTTATTCTTGCCCAGTGGGATTAACAAAATGAAGCTGTGTCAGGAGATGTCTGAGAGCTTGTGAGAAAACGTCCAGTAAACAAGAGTCTTATAACCTTTGTTCCTCCATAACATGGATTCATTCTTGGAATGTGCTTTTGTGCCCCTCTCCAGGTGTAGGATAAAGGTCAGCTTACTTTAGCTTACCCGTTACCTTAGCCGTTATTGTTCAGAAAGATGTTTACAAGCACAAGTTATCCACCGTAATGTATACAGCCTAAACTCATGCAACCTTGTCCTTGTGACTGTATTCAAGTTGAACTCAAGTGAACTTTGCTTACATAACCTTGCTTAACCCTCAAAATATCCTCATACTATAAATTGTCTGATACCCTGTATAAAGTGGCTATTGTATGAGACTTTAGTCCCCCTAGTTTTTAGGCTCCACTCTCCCAGGTGCATTCCTCTAACTAGAGTGGTGAAAATATTTTGAATACATTTTCTTACCCTGCAGTTTACCTTTACATTACAAAAATTAATCTTTAATTTCTTGGAATCTACTATAAATATTCTTTCTAGTTGGTACAATGCAAGCCTTCAAATATTTTAATTTCCTTAGTATTATGTAAATATGCCATGCAATTAAATTGTCTTTTAAATCAAGCAGAGTTCAATTTTAATTTACATAAACAGTGTTTATATTTACCCATATATTCATCATTATTTCAATTTTTGTTGCATCATACAACTCTGGGACCATATCAGCAATGATTTCATTCTTTATTAAATTGATTAAATGATGCGTGGAACCGCATGGGTTAGACTAATTCTGTGAGGGCTTGCAGTGGGTCATTTGATGAAGGAAGGAAGGAAGAAATGTTTTGTGCTGACATTTTCCATGCCTTTCTTTTTCCATTAATTTGCGATTAAAATAGTTTTAGTCATTTGTCTAAAAGAACAATCCCTTTAATCATTTAGTGATAGACAAAGTACAAAGGTATATTATTACTTAGTTTCCAAGAAATGATGTTGTTAAATAAATAATGTTTAAACACCAGGATTGCTGTTTCCAACTTAAACAGGAAAAACACACCAGTTTTTGAAAGAACAAGACCATGAAAGGACATTGGGAGGTGGACAATCCACACAATCCAGACCATGGGATCTAAATCAAATTGAGACATTTGTGTCTATTTTGGGTGGACTTTGAATGATAACTTACTCTTTATAGTGAATGGAATAAAAATTCCTATAGAGCTCGTTGCATAGTATGGTTCAGATGTAGCAAATTACCTTTAAGAAGTTGAAAAGACAAAGAAAATATGATTTATGAGTCCATAGCTAATGTTAGAACTTGGTAGAACTTTGCCAACCAAAATAATCAGTGAATTTGGTCATTTCCATCCTGTTCTCTCCAAATATGAGGGATCCATTTGCATTTTGGTGAAACTATTTAGCTCAATGTGGTCTCTCATGTAACTCAGGACCACAACTCCAATGAAAATTCTCTCCTGCTCCACTGAGTGAGTCAAAATGGCCAGGAAGGAGGTACCCTTCTGCCACTATGACTCACCATGCATGAGACTGAGCTGGTGACCTGGGTAGGGAACCACTGCATCTCCCTTACATGTGGACCCACTGCTAGCCAAGGTTGGTTAGACCACCAAATCCACATGTCAAATTAGGCCTTTTCCTTGCAAAGTATCAAGGAGTCACACAGAGGTCACGGGCCTATTCTTCCCAGCTATACTTACAAAGTTTTCACACAATATTTATATTGGCAGGAACAATCTCCTGAAATTTCTGGTGGTAATGTGTGAGGAAGGGCCAAAATAATGGTGGAATATCCAGGAAAGCAATGCTTACTATTGTTATGAATAGTCTTCAAAGAAAGTTATCTTCATTGCATTTTTCTCTTATTGAGAAGTTTTAGTTTTACTGTAAGCATCTGTAGTTTGCTGTTCTTGCTGTGATGTCACAATTTGAATAGATTGTAATTCCTAGCTTTTGCAGCCCTGTAGTGGTGCAAACTTTTCTCCATAAGTTTTGTTCTCCATAATATCCCTTGGAAAGGAAATAAATCATGCATGACACATGTAGGCAACAATAAACAGTCAGCACTTGTTCTTGGGATATCTGTTTTTCACTAACAGGAGCTGACAGAGTTACTGGGGTGTTTGGTGGTGGTGGTGATTGTTGTTGTTGTTGTTGTTCTTCTTCTTCTTCTTCTTCTCCTCCTCCTCCTCCTCCTCTTCCTCCTCCTCCTCCTTCTGTATGGTTTTTTTGTGGGCAGAAATTTCTGTTCCGTAGCCCTTTAGTCCCAAAGAAACACACAGAGGCTTATATTAATTATAAACTGTTGGATGATGGCTTAGGCTTGTTACTGGCTAGCTCTCTCTTAATTATCAACCCATAAATATTAATCTATGTATTTCTGCATGGCCTTTTCTTACCAGAGAATGCCCAAGCTTCCTGCAATGCTCTGGCATGTTACTGCTTGGATGGCTACATGGCAGCTCCCTCTCCATTCTCCTCTTCCCCACATTCCTAGTCTGGTAGCCTAGTCTATACTTCCTGCCTGGTTACTGGTCAATCAGCATTTATTCACAAAACAATAAGAGAGACATACATTCATAGAATACAGAAGGATGTACTACATCAATTGTTGTTTTGTTGTTTGTCTGTTTAGAAGTGTAGGGGAGAATCAGGTTTGGGGCAGTAACTGCAGCAGCTCTTCATTTCTTCTGTAGCTCTCCCTGTCTCTCTTTTGCTTCCTGAAACAGGCCTCTGTTGTGACTGTCTGTGATGGTATCATCCAGGTGTTCATCAATATCAAAGTGAAGAAACACAAGAATATGGGCTCTTTTGCCTGAGTGAGACCAAAAAGTCATCCTGGAGGACAACAAGGGGATCCTGGTAGGAGTTGGGCAGACTGTGGATGACTCCTACATCACTATTGTCAAGATGCTGCTGGACAAGAACTGCCATTATGCTCTCTGTGATGCAATCTATGAGACCAAGGAAAGCAAGGAGGACTCTGGTGGTCATTTTCTGGGGCCCGAGAGTGCACGCCTTACAAGAAAAATGGTCTATGCCAGGTCCAAGGATGCTGTCAAGAAGCTGACAGGAATCAAGCATGAGTTACAAGCAAACTTCTAGGAGGGGGTCAAGTACCGCTGCTCCCTGGCAGAAGAGCTAGGTGGCAGAGCAGTTGCCCCTAGAGGGCAAGCCTTTGCGAGTTGCCTCCAGCCCTCTGCCTCGGGTATCTGGCAGCCCTAAACCTGCTCTTGGGTGCTACAGGCTGCCTCTTTCCTGCCAGACCAGAGGGTCTGGGGGTTACCAGCAGAAGGAGGTCAATCCCTTCATCCCAGTTGCCAGATATCCCCATCTCTCCACTCCCTGGACCACCCTCCTCCTTCCATCCCAATGTCTCTGGCCAGTCCAAACTAGTTTCTATCTTCTGATTACTGAATAGAAGAAGACCAAGTTTTTGAGAGAGCCTTACTATTCTTAAAGACACCCCCACTCCTCCTCCCTCCCCATCTCATGTTGCCAACTTCTAACCACAATAGTGACTCTGTACTTGTCCATTTGGTCCTGTTTATAAATGAAATATAGAAGTGACACTCCCTGCACCAGCTGGTTGCTCCCTGCCCACTTTATCTTGGTCACTCATGGAAGCAGGGCTACTAAGGGATCTTAAAAAAAGGCTAATTAACAAAAGAAAAAAAGTTTAGAGGAATGAGGTGACAGCTGTATCCCTAACACCCCCTGCCCTGTCCCCACCACACACACAACTCATACTTTGGAGAAAACATAATTTCTACTACACTTGGTTCACAACT